TCAAACTGAAATACGTGTCTCAAAATAGTAGTCATTCTTCACACTTGCAGTGCACTCTGACGTCTTCTGAAACAGAGGCTGCAAACCTTAGCCTGTGACTATTTTTGCAGGCCTCTAAGAACAGCAGGACATGCCACAGATCCTATGTGGCCCACAAAGCCTGAAATCTTTACTCTTTGACCTTTTACAAAAATAAATAAATAAACACTTTGCTACCAGTGTGTGGTGGCACACATCTGTAATCCTAGCACTCTGGAAGGCTGAAGCAGGCAGATTGCAAGTTTGAGCCCAGCCTGAACCACTTACTGATTTAGTGAGACCCTGATTCAAAAAAGAGGCTAGGGAGGTAGCTCAGTGCAAAACACTCCTTCCTATTCCTATTTCATCCTCCTCTATTTCTATTTCTGTTTCTAATGCTATGCCACGCTATGCTATACTATTCTAATTCCATTCCATCCTATTCCATTCCACTCTACTCCACACCATTCCATTCCAAAATGCTGGCTGCAACTTAGTAAATACAATCCCCTCACCAGCTGATGGGTTGAAAATCTCAGCTTGTATTAATGTGAATTTCAGTGTTCCCACTGATGGATGGATGGATGAACAGACTTTACCCATGAGACACTTCAGCCGGCAGTGCCCCTCGTCAAGTTCCTCGAGGCTGTGCTGAAGGGTGGTGGGTCCTAGTTCTGACCTTCTCATTGAGGGAAGTAGCAACACGGCCCCCATACCGCCTGTCCTTTTCTCAACACCTGGCCCAGGGCCTGGCCCAGAGCAGAGGCACAAGCAATATTTCTTCATGATGGTGGCAGCAGGTAAATGGCACCCAAGGCCACCATGACGCGATTCCAGCTGTCTGCAGCAGGACGTCTACTTCCTCTGGCCGCACGATCCCTTGGCCCCTCCCAACCGGCCAGGTACCCCCTCTCCCCATGGGACCCACCCTGCTGCCATGTCTGCCAGACAAAATTCTGACCCTGCCCCGTAATGGGCTTTTCTCAGATAACCTCCACCTTGGGTCCAGGCTGTGACCCCAACTCCCGAGCAGGATTCATTCCTAGTTCTAGGAACAGGTTATGGAGCCTCCAGAGCTCTACACCTCATCCTACCTTAGCTACTGTGAGTTCCTGGGCAGGTCACTGCCCCTGTCTGAGCCTGGGTTCCCTGTCTGGGAATGGGGGGGACCCAAGGCAGCGACAGTGAGGACTCACATCCCATGTGCAGTGTTCCCACCATGTAACCAGCTCTCGTCTCTCTGTGGCCTCCAAGGTCTCCAGAGACTGGGCACACATAGGAGCTGGATGGCTTCCCCTCACAGGAGAGGGAGGCAGATTTCCCACAGTGGTAGCACTATCCGCTTTTTGTCTGGGTTGACTTCAGAACAGAGGGACAGGGAGAGCAAGCAGGACTCAGGTGACTGACTTGTCACATGCCCTGTGTTGAACACTCTGTTTTCCACTTCCTAGCTGGCCCCTATTTTACAGAGAAGGGCACAGTGATAACCCCCTTATGCATGACTCCACCCCATGGGAATCTGTGGTCCCCTTCAGCACTGCCTCACTCATTCTACTCTATCACTGGTCAAGACCTGGCTCTACCTGGATGCAATCATTCAAGGACACTGCTAACCTACAGACAAGAAATCCAGATCCTCATCAGCCCCTCCTCTGCCTTCAGGCACCTGCTGGCTGGATGTGAGCTCCTATCTGTGCATGGACAGTGCTGCCAGCACAACGGCACACTTCACATACGAGTGTTACCTGTGCACTGGACTGTGAGCTGCCACTCATGCTTCATGACAAAGAAACAGAAGCTCAGAAGGGACAAGGCTTGCTGGGGATCACACAGCAAGCTAGAGGCAGAGGTGGGATCTAACTCCTCCTCTCAGCCCCAGCACAGCCCTCTCTGGCCCAAGAGAGGAAGCAGCCAGATCCTTATGGAGCCCTGCTGTGTGCCTTGGCAGCTTCTCTGGGAGACTGAGGTGAATCTTCCCAGCTGCCCAAAGACGTAGCACAATGGCACCCATTTCACAGACAGAAAACTATGGGTCAGAGAGGCCAACACCTGCCTGAAACCACATACACAGGCCAAGAGAGGGCTCTAAATTTGGACCTGGGCTACAGGGTGCTTCTTTCCGCCCTTGCTTCTCCACATCTAGAACCTAAAGCTGGTGCTCCTCCCCAGCAGGGCAGAGTCACGTCTCATAAATGAAGCTTTGCCTCATTCCCCAGATGAAGGCCCAGATCCGGGAGTAGGGAATGCAAGCCAGAGCTCTGCACTTCACCCCATGGTCCCACTGCCTGGACACCCCAGCATGTCTGAGGAGAAATGTCCCATCTGGTTCTTATTCATTTATGCTTAATTAATCAAAATGTTGTTTTGTAAGAGACACTTGAGATCCAAGAATCTTTCTCAAATCTTTTCTTTCATTCTTGCCTTAGAAACAAAAAAAATTCGGTTTCATCAAATAAAAAAATAAAATAAAATAAAACCACTGCGACGCTGGAGCCCTGGGAAACACAAGTCTATGAGAGCCAGGCCCCATCCCATGGGCTCAGCCCAGGCAGATTCCTCCTGACCCTGCAGATCTGGCCAAAGACTCAGCCAAAGACAAGGTGCTGGGGTCTCCCTTCACACTGCCGCCCCTCAAGGGCAGGCCACATCTGCTCCTGCCAAAGTTAGATGAGAAGGTCAAAGCTGGTAGAACCCTTGGGAATTTTGTGTAGGAGTTTCCAAGCAGATGCCTTCCTAGAAACAGCCTCTGATTCACGACAAGTCTGAGGAGAGTTGTATTCCACTCTATCACTTCGCATGCTCTGGTGAGCCCTGCAAGCATGCACTGCTCAATCCGACACATGCCAAATCTATTCAGCTAAGAAGACTACGGACTTCCTTGTGGAACACGCTATACGAAGGGTTTGTGTAGCCTCCACACACCTCCAGTACCAATGGGGAAACTGAGATTGGGCAGGGGAAGGGAGGAGATCCACTCACCCAAGGTCACACAGTACCACTGGTGTAGGAGAGAGACAGAAATGCAAGACTCTTTCCACCACACATGGCAAATCAACAGAGCCATAAGCCTCTCTCTGAAGATGCCCATGTCCTGAGGAGGAGATTAGATACCAGGAGGGAATACCAAGAGCTCCTCATCAAACTGGGGAATGGAAGGAGGACAGGGAATAAGGACAGGCACTTTTCATATCTTTTCCTCCACCTTCTCTTTTTAGAACTGAGAAGCATCTTGAAGACCTAGCCTAGCTCCTCACCATATGGGAAATTGAGGCTCTGAGGAGGGAAGAACAAAACAGCTTGGGAGATGTCTCTGCATCGTACCAGACAGACTGGGATTCCAGCCTGCTTTGCTACTCACCTGCTGTGCAGTCTCAGACAAGTTGGTTCCTATCTCTGAACCTGTGACCCTCTTCCCTCTGGTAGGCTCTTGTAAGTAACCAATGACACAACGGACAAGAAACATTTACCACACATACAGACTCATTTAGCTTTACCCATTGTCTTCCAGATGAGTTGGAGGTTTAAGATTATTATTCCTATTTTAAAGATGAGTCAATGAGGAGAACACTTTTTAAATCTGCTTCAGAACTGAGAAATATCTTAGAGGTTTTTTGAAAGACCTTAGATGGGATAAGAGCAGCAAAGTGACTGCCCCACGGTCACTTAGCTGGTAACTCAGGAAGTGGGGATTTGAACTCAGGGAGGCCAGCTCTAGAGCCAGTGCTCTGAACACTGCACACCGTGTTCAGGGGAACAAAGCCCCTTCAGAGAGGAGTGCTCTCAGAGGCCCCAAGACCTGAAGACACCTGGGGCCACCTAGAGCCCTCTGTCATTGTTCCCTTAGCGCAGCCCATGGAGCTGCAGTCCCAGGGCCATATTGCTGCCCCACTCCACCCAACCTCCCAGCCCTCTCTGCCTCCTGCTGTTTTCCCAGACTGAGCCTGTCCAGCTAGGGCTTTGCACTGGAAAGGGCCAGACGCCCCCAGAGGTCAGGCTGTTCTCTCTCCCTGTTTCCCATTCAGCCTTGCTCAGACCAAAATGACAGCCAGAAAGACAGAAATCTTCCACCTACCTGTTGGATAACTTAGCCATCTACCTGTCTAGGCCTCAGGTCCCCTGCTTTATAAAATAGGTCCCTGGTGAGAAGGTAGTGGAGATGAGATGAGAAAGTGCAGGGCACCGTGGCCAGCCTTTGGCCACTGATTCTCAGACAGGCAGCCCCTGGGAAGGGGCTCATGGCTGCATGCTTTCCTCAGGGACACAGGCTCTGGCATCTCACCCTGCACAGCAGCCCAAAGCCACTGCCAGAGAATCTTCTGACTGTCATAGTAAGGAACAGTGGTACAGGACTCTGAAGGGAGCGTGCGCAGGGTCCCTGGTACATAATGAGTCTGAACCTTGCTTCACCTTGCTAGGTCCCGGGGAAAAACCGAGGCTCTTGGAACAGTCAGACTTCTTCCGGGTTCTCCCAAGAATAAGTGAACTTGAACTTAGGTCTCTGGGTGGGCTCACCAGAGAGGGGTCCAGCTCACCTTCCAGGAATCAACACTGAGTTGGGGCAGTGACCCGCTCGAAGTGGGATATCTGGACTCCAGATCAGGGCTCTTGATGTCACCTCCTGGCTCAGCATGAATGTTTGGGATGGTCCCTAAGCCACCAACTCTGTCTCCTAATCCCAGGCTGGCTGTTGAAACTTCTGTGTCTGAACAGAAGTGCTCATTGCTGTTTCTATGGAGACCTGGGGCTATCAGAGAGCCCTGGAGTGCTTCCCTACTTGGAGAGCCTCCCTGGTCCAGCTTGCCCCATGGCTGTCTTACTGGATGCCCTGGAGCCTCAGTCTCCCCATCTGTAAGGTAGGTTCTATGTTTATCTGGAGAAGCCAAGGGGCCAGGCATAAAGAAACAAGCCCATGTCCCAAGACCCAGGGCCAGTTGTGCCCACAGCTCCCACTCGGCCACCCTGTTGCGAGCCCCACACGGTACCTTGCTTCTTCCTTCGGTGCAAGGCAAGCATGTCCACCGTGTGGGCGACGAGCAGCAGCAGGCACAGTGGCGCCCGCATCTGGGCAGCGTGGTCCCAGCAAGGGCCTGCGGGGATCCCGAGCGCCCGAGGGCGGCTCGGGGCTGATCGGGTGCGCCCGGTGCATCCGCGGAGCGCGGGTCGGTGCGGCCGCCGGGAGCCCCGTCAGCCCGGGCCTCGGCCAGGTCGAGCGAGGGCAGGGGCGGCGCTGGGCACGGCCTGGGGGCGGAGTCGGCGCGGGGGCTGCGCGTTAACCCGCGCGGGGCTGGCTCTGAAGGGAGTTGCCTCCGAAGGGGGTTGCCGGCCGGGTCCCCAGCTCCATCTGTCCTCCTTGGCCGGCTTGTGCCTGTCCAGCCCTGCAGCACCCAGGTGCGGAGTCCGCGGCCCCAGAACAGGGGCGCGCACGCGGGTTCAAGCAAGTGGGCACTAGGAGAGCCTCTTCGCAGCACCCCGGCCCCTCCTGTGGTTTTCTGTCTCTGCCCCATCCCCGCTTTCCCCTGGCTCCTAAAGACAGCTTCTGGCTACTCTTCGGTCCTGTCTGCCTCGTGTGCGCCTTTACTGTCTCCTCCCCCGCCCATCCTTTGTGGCCCGCGCCTTTATTACCTGCCACCTTCTTCTCTCTTCCAGGTCAGGGTCTCACTCTGTCTCCACCCAGTTCCCCTGCTCCCGCTTCCCTCCGAGGTTCCCTTTGCTCCATCTCCATCTCTCCTGCAGGACCGCCCCCCCCCCACACACACACACACACACGGCCGTGTATCTCTGTGCTTTCTCTTTCTTTCCAGAAGGTCCTGAGTCCATGCTGGCCAATGACCCTGACACTTCCTGCTGCAGCCTGGCGGGAGCCCCTGCTCTTTGATTCAAAGTGTCCAGCACTTCATAAATTCGCTTGTGACAGGAGTGGGGACCTGGACTGTGTTTCCTCCAAACTTATCACCAAAACTGGGAGCATCTGGTTCCATTTTAACCCTTTCAGAGTCAAATCAATCCTCCAACTCAACTCTGTCTCTTGTTCATCTACCCACCAAAACTAGTACTCATGATGGCAGCTCTGGGTTTTGAGGCCTATGTGCTTAGCATTCACTTTTCACTGATTATAAACTTCAAAATGACTCGGAGTTTCTAATCTGATTAGCCACACTTTTCGGGAGGAGAAAAGAGTTCAGAGAGACCAAGCAGCTTGCTCAGAACCGCACAGAAGGTCAGCAGTCTATTGAGTCCCTCCCTCCCCCTGGAGACTCAAGGGAAAGTGGAGCCTTGGAAGCCTGGAGGAGCTTACCCTGGACACTGTCTTGCTGAACAGGTGTCCTTTCCTTCTTTCTACATGTGTGGCCTGATCCAAAAGAGAAGGAAGACGTTTGCTGGTGCCTCCTCCAGGACCTCTCCCAGTGCAGTGGGGATACTTGAGGGATTCAGGGGACAAAGAGACACAGCAAGGGGCAGACAACAGGGATCTTGGTGGAATGTCACAGCCATGACACTTCAATCCATCCCATTTCACAGATGGGGCCACCAAGGCTTCAGGACTATGGGCCCTAAATTAGGTAGCCCATTGAGGCTAAGACAGAGCTAAGATGGGGGTCTATGCATCCCCGCATACGCTTTACCATACCCTACCTGGCCCTCCAGTTCTGACATCCCAGATCCCAGGCATCCCCCTGCCTCACACTTCTCTCCTTGCAGTATTTCACGGGCTCCTTGGAACTCTTGAGCGTTTCCTGTCGTGGCTTCTCCATGAGGTGGTGGTCTATTTTAGGATGACCAACTGTCTAGGTTTGCTGAGGATGGAATGGTTTCCTGAGGTGCAGTGTTATCTCACGTAGCTTGATACAAACTCTACCACAGTCCAGTTACTTAAAAGTGCCACCACCACAGGACTCCTGTGTAGTACCTACATTGCGCCCTTTATGGCTCCACTCTCCCTCTCCCTGTCTAACTCTAACCCCTAGCAACTACTCCTCTGTTCCCCGTCCCCCTTCTCCAGAACCCTAGCATGCCCTCCTCCTTTCCTGATTACCAGGCCAGGCCCAGAACTTGCTCTGGGCAAATCTCTTTGTCAGAGCTCTGATCATATAGAGTGATAACTACGGATGTCTCTGTCCTCTCTCTAAACTGTCAATATTTTCAAGCCAGAGACTTGGTCATAGCTCATGCTCAGTATGTTTTGTAGAATGAATGAATGAATGACTGTGTGAGTGAATGAATTCTCCAGCACAAGAATCTCCCTGCCTAGACATGGAATACAAGTCCTTGGAGAAATGAGGTGATTCCAGAACATCAAGTCCTACCCACCACCCCTAGCGCTGAAGCCTCCAAATCCAGAGGGGGCAGCTTCCATGTGAGCCAGACCAGGGGGAGCCCTGTGCATCATGAGTCCTGCTGAGGCCAGGGCTACTCTGCAGCAATACAGCTCTGCAGGGTACAACCCTCACCTGTCCTCTGAGCTCTTTCCCACCCCTACCCCGCTCCCCTCTCTGCTCTGGACTTCCTCTTATTTCCTAGACTTTGGTTCCATGTTTTCCCCAAGGCTTTGGTGTTCCCGCTCCCTGGAAATTCCTTCCCCAGATGCCTGTAGAATTGTTCTCCTTACCACCTGGGCCTGCATCAGCCTCCAAAGTGGCTTGCCTCATTGTAATGGCCGGCCTGTGAGTTCCATGGGGCCGCAATCTTCGGTTTTATCCCTGGGTGCCTGACACATACAGTAATTACTAAATATCTGTGGAATGAATAAAAGAATGAATGACTGAGCACTCACTTGTCTCCTCAGGCTCTTCCTGCTCTCATGGGCTGTATTTCCTTTTGTTCAGTGGCACTGATGGGAGTTTGTGTTCTGTGAAATTTCTTCCATTTTTTCCAAAATCTGATTTCTAGCATTCTAAGGCCCAGACCTCAGGGCACTTTCTCTTTGGAGCCCTCAGAGGATCTTGGGGCCTCTGTAGCTATGGGGGGCTGTGTGGGCATGTTAGCCTGTCATCCAGCTCCCATCCCCAATACAGGTACCCAGAGAAGTCGTTGAGGCTGCTGATGCTGATGGCGTGCCCAGGAGTTGCACAGCCCACTGCCATTGAGTAAGGAACCAGTAGGCATTGTCATGGATAGACAAAGACAGAGGGGCAAGACTCACAGGAGTGCTCGCAGCACATGTTCCTCATGAGAAAATCCTCCTCTGTACGAGAGCTGGACTCAGTTTCCTCCAGCTGGTACTCTACCCTCCTGGAGGGAGTAGCTCTGCATTGTCCATGATTTCACTTTCCATGATTGCAGCCTACCACAGTTGACAGCAGTCTGAAAATGTTAAATGGAAAATTCCAGAAACAAGCAACTCATAAGTTTTAAATTGTGCACCATTCTTAGTAGTGTGATGAAATCTCACACTACCCACTTCATGCTGCCCTCAGTGTGAATCATCCCTTTTCCCAGCATATCCACACACTGTACATATCACCTGCCCTGTAGTCATTTAGCTGACTGGGTTATTACATCCACTGCTGCTGTATTGCAGTGATTATATTCAAGTCACCCTTGTTTTACTTAATTATAGCCCCAAAGTGCAAGAATAGTGATGCTGGCAATTTGAATATGCCAAAAAGAAGCCATGAAGTACTTCCTTTAAGTAAAAAGGAAGAGACCACATTCACATAACTTTTATTACAGAATACTGTTATGACTGTTATTATTAATCTGTTACTATGCCTAATTTATAAATTAAACTTTATCATAAATTTTATCATAGGTATGTATATATAGTCAATTTTTTTTTATATCAGTGGTGTTGAAGAAGAGAAGGGGCAGGATTTATGGAAGGTAGGAGTTTGTCCACCCATATCCTATTGGCCAGAACTGATTTACATGGCCACACCTACCTTCAAGAGTAACTGGGAATTGTAGTCTAGCTATGTGCTAAACTGTATACAATAAGCCAAAGTTTGGTAAACACATGGTCCATCAGCCACATTGGGCCACCTTCATTTCTTGTCCCGGTGATCCAGTAGCTTCCTTCTGTATCTGCTGTGGCCCCTGCACAAGCTCTTCTTCCTAAGCAGCCAGAGGACATGGATTTCTAACAGATGAACCCTAAACTCCTCCTCCCAGAAATGCATGATGGGCTTGCTAGGATGACCAACTGTCTAGGTTTGCTGAGGATGGAATGGTTTCCTGAGGTGCAGTGTTATCTCACGTAGCTTGATACAAACTCTACCACAGTCCAGTTACTTAAAAGTGCCACCACCACAGGACTCCTGTGTAGTACCTACATTGCGCCCTTTATGGCTCCACTCTCCCTCTCCCTTTCTAACCCTAACTCCTAGCAACTACTCATCTGTTCTCCATCTCTATAATTATGTTGCTATACAAATATTATGGAGTGGAATTGTGCAGTACATATCCTTTTGAGATTGGTTTTCTTAACTCAGCATAATTTCCTTGAGAGTCATTCCATGTTTTGCATGCATTTGTAGTTAGTTGCTTCTTATTGCTGAGTAGTCTTCCATGGTATGGATACATCATAGTCTGTTTAGTCATTCACCCATTGAAGGGTATTTAGGTAATTTCCAATGATTGGTTATTAAGAATACAGCTACCACATCCCCATGTGTATAGATTTTTGTATGTCCTGTTTGGTGATGCATGTGCGTCTTTTCCAAATTTTAAATTAGATTTTTTTTATTTTACTGTTGTATTTTGAGAGTTGTTTATATATCTTAGATACATGCCTTTTGTTGAATATGTGATTTGCAAATTTTCTCTTGCTCTGTAATTTGTCTTTTCATCCTCTTACCAGAGTATTTCACAGAGCACAGTGTTTAATTTTGATGAAATCTACTTTAGCAAATTTTCCTTTTTATGGATCATGACTTTGGTGTCCAAGTTCTAGTCCTAAATTTCAAAGGTTTTTGCTTATTTTTTGTAAAAGTTATATAATTTTACATTTGAGTCAGTGCTTCATTTTGAATTAATTTTGTGTAAGTATGAGGTTTAAGTCAAGGTTCATTTTTTTGCCTATGAATTTTCAGTTGCTCCAGTGTGATTTGATACAGAAGCCATCCTACCTCATTGAGTTGCTTTTACCCCTTTGTCAGAAATTAATTGGGCATATTTGTGTGGATCTATTTTGGGATTATTTAATATTTTCTGTGGACTGTGTATCTTCCTGTTTGCCAATACCGCACTTTCTTGATTATTGCAGCTATATAATAAACCTTGAAGTTGATTA